ATCCTTGAGTTTATCACGGTTCAGATCATGTGGCTTAAATCGTTTGTCTTCTTCTCTCTTTTCAGTTCTTCTTGTACGCTTCACAGTTTCTCAAAAACCTGTATTTTGCTTTTTTGACAAAGACAAGCGAATCATATCTGTGTGAACATGGATTAAAGAATCCTTGAGACTAAAGACACTTATCTTGGGGTAGTTTGATCTGAGAATAAGTGGTTCATCTTTGAACATTGAAGAATGTTTGGCTACTTTTCCATGATCCTGGTTTGTTGATTTAAACTATAAGAACGCAAGATCTCCTACATCAGAAGGAAACAGTTTAGGTACAAAGGAAAAGATCATACATATAGTCAAGTAGTTGTTATCAAAATAGAGTTTTAGAACGAAGCATCCTTGGGTGTTTGAAATTGTTTTCCTCGTGTATTTCCAGCTCCAAATTCCAAATTGATAAGTCTTTCACTGGCTTATATCTGGTGGATTCTCCTTGACTTGGATAAAACAGGTGAGTTCTTCTCCTTGACCAAGAATGGATTGTGGCTGATGCAAATCGGGCGGCTTTTCATTGATTGTCAATTCTCTCAACTACTTATGATTCTCCATGGCTTCTGTTCCTTTTTCAACACTCATGGGACAGAACAAGTGCATTATACTTGAAGTAGAAAATTCAAAAAGATGATTGTTCACAGTTGGTTTATAAAGCACATTAAACAGATTTGAATCACACTACTCGTTTTTAAGCACGTGTTTCCATTCAGAAAATGTTTTAACCAATGCATTTTTAGTTTTAGTCCTAAACAGCTCAAATGCATCACTACACAAAGAAACTTTCAAAGAAGAGTCAAAATCACAAAATTCTTCAAATATAAAACCATTTAGCTCAAAGAACTTTTCAAGCGTGAATATTTCAAAATTTGGAATTATTTTGTCAAAAACGGATTTTGAAACACAAAACTCTTTCACATTTTCCAAACCAAAACATTTTTCATCTTGAGCAGAAACCATCACAAACAAATTAGGTTATGTCCTAACTAAATCAATTTCCTTACAGTGTTTTCTTGGGTAATCAAAAGGAAATGGCATACGGACATGTTTTGYCACAAGGCTGGTTGGCTGCTCCAATTCATTAATCAGTGGTAAACTCCTTTGCATTGTTTTTGGTGATTCTTCTTCTAAGATCTGTGAAAAACAAACAATACTACTCGGTTGCTCCGGTTCAAAAGGGGTTAGTTTTTCGGGCACAAAATCAGATTGGAAAGAGGAAAGAAAACACTTAGCTTCCAAGGACTTTTTGAGAAAGACAAGATGGTTCTTAGTTCTATTATTAGTTGGCTCTTCCTTG